CGTCTCATCAGAAGAGCGGTACCTCTGAAATTGCAGTGCTCCCCCAGCACTGCACTGGTTGTTACATTAGACTGTAAGCTCAAAGTCCTGCTGTGGGTCTTGAACCCACAACCTTCTGACCCAGAAGCAAGAGTGCTACTAACTGATATGATCTGACACCAATTAGGGATTCCTGGGTAAATGCATTTCAGACAATTGAGTGACAACAATAACTTGTGTTTATGTAGTGACAGAGTCTGACAACAAGTCAAGGGGGAGGGAGGGAGGGGGGAGGTAACCGTAAGCACAATGAAAAAGGAAGGTCTTTAGGGCGGGAGCAAGGCGTAGGGATCGAGGGAGAGAGTTCCAGAATTTCAGGGCATAGTGGCTGATAGCACGGTCACCGATAGTGGAGCGGAGGGACAATTAGAAAGCCGGAGCAGAGGCAGTGGGTGGTGGAGTGAGGGGTAAGCAGGTCGGATAGGTAGGGAGGTGCGAGGGAATTAAATGACTTGAAAACGAATGAGAGAACATCAGTGTTAGATCATACATGTGTTCAGTATGATAATTATTTGATGTGAGTGTCAGATTGTTGAAATGCCACACGTTTTGAGCTGTAACTAAAGAATGGCAACTAAATGCCACTGAATTCTGCAGAATACATGGATCCTTTCTGGATGTTAAAAAAAATGAATGCCATCTTGGTTTTAAGGATGTGGAGAAGTAACTTTAGTTTAAATTTTGGAGGCAGCATTTGAAGGCTGCTTTATAGGATACCAACTGAGTTGGTCAATGTACTGGATCTAGCTCACTTAAATGCTGATCTCCAGGATCGGGAGCAGCTTCTGAGTGGAGACATTTTGTGAAGATTGACATTTGAGTGCAGCAAAAAAAAACATTCTTGGTGAATTAATGGTCAAAATGAAGGATACTCGTGCTGCAAATTGGTACATTTATCATTTTAAGAACCTAGGCACCCGGTTGGTGTCAGCATAAAGCATTTTTATGTCAGGCTTCGGATAATTAAATGCAAAGCTCTCTCTAACCTGCTCTAAAAGGTGCTTCAGGTCTAACAACCTGCATTTATATACTTCAAGAAAAATAATATTTCAGAGAGTGTGAGAAAAATGTAGTCAATACAGAACAGGGAATTGAGAGATTTAAAGATGATGGACAAAGGCAAAGTCAGGTTGTTTCAACTTCAGAGCTGCTTCCTCCTCCTCCTGCAGTATCAGAACCACCTTGCTGACATCTTATCCTGTGGCTCCTGATTAAGACTGCCAGGGTTAGTAACAATTAGTGGCAAATGAACAGCATAGTTTAGTGCTATCTTTCATCAACCACAAACTGGAATTGAACTACCCAAACCGATACGAGACTTACAATTTATAGGCAGAGAAGACATTCACCCGATCAGTGTGGACTAGAATCAATGCTATTTCCAGAGTTGAAAGGCCATTATCTCTCATTCTACATTTCCATCAGAAAGCATTTTTCCTGCTGGGCTTAATTATCCCAGTCTGTGGTCTATGATTGTGCTAGTACGTGTGGCAACACAAGGTTTTTTGGTAATAGCTGGGCTCCAGGACTTGTGGTTCGCCAAGTAACAAGCTGCTGTTGTTATCCTCTCAACCACAGATTCTATTTCAGAAGATTCATAGCAGCATCTTTGGCCCAATTTATCTCATCCTTCCAAAATACCCACATTATAGTCCTTCTAACACAGGATCAAACTGTTTTTCTTAAATGAGGCCAGTGTCCCAGAATCAACCACCTTTCCCGGCAACTTGTGCAGTCCTGTAGCTCAGTGGTTAGCTCGCTTTACAAGTGAGAGACCTGGTTTCGATACCCGGTAGGGTGAAATCTTGGGCAAGTTTCCTTACTCCACACGCCTGATAATAATCCCTCAAGAAAAACAATAATAAATTTGTCACTTCAATCCACGACTGTTTGTGGGACACTGCTGTGTGCAATTGGCTGCCACATTTCACCCACAAATATACAGTCAATTTACTTTACAATCTATTCTGTGAAGTGCTTTGAGATGTCTAGAAGACGTGAAAAGCGCTATATCAAATGCAAGGATTATTATTATTGTTATTATAACTTTAATTGTCTAAAGCAAAAGTCGCTGGGAACACTAGGCAGGTCAGGGAGCATCTATGGAGAAAGGAAAGTGAGTCAATGTTTCGGGTCCACGACCCTTCGTTCCGACGTTCTGACGAAGGTTCGTGGACCCAAAATGTTGACTTCTGTTTTTGAGTCAGATCTCCAGCATCTGCAGCATTTTGCGTTTTGTTTAACTTTAATTGTCTACCTGGCAAATAAATACTTCTCCGGTGTCTGTTCTGAAATTGTTCTTTGTATTTGTAAATGAATGTCCCTTTATTCTACAGTCTTGGTGCAAAAGTAATTTGTTTCACCATTTGCCACCACGTAATTGATCAGTGATCACTATTCATTTCAAATGAGCATTAGAGCACTCTGGGGCGCCTCCCTGCATGAGGGGCGCTATATAAATGCATGTTGTTGTTGTAGCTGTAGCTCTTCATTGCATGAAACAACAATCAAATTTGTTCAAGACTTTCCACTGCATTCCTGGGAAGAGCCAATCTAAATATAACTAATTCGGAGCCCAGAATAGGATTTCTTGCTTAGAAAGATAACAGATATAGATATCCCAAATGCTGAAGAATGAAGTGTCATGTTCTTATCACTGATTGCAAACAGCTCGTAAGACCTTGACAGTTTTCAGACTTCTACTGAGACATGTTCATAGACCTCGACAGTTCTCAGATATCTACTGAGACATGTTCTGACTCAGGCAGCAGTGTGGACAAAAGGTATCAGGTCTCTGACTAGATCTGACTGCTTTTTCAAGTTTCTGCATTTCAATTTCAACCAGTATCACTTTATTATTCTCTTTGGTTTCTTTTACATCCTATAGCACCAGTAAACATAGGGAAGACAACACCGACCAATCTGTGCATCAGACGAATATCTATAAATCAGTGAATTTGTCTGTCACACACACACACACACACACACAAAGGTACCACACTACACCATCCTGTCTCCAACAATGCTGAAATCTAGCAGTTCCATCAACATCACTCTTTCTGGCAATGATTCTGATTGAGATCAGCTAAGTATTACAGTTTAGTACAGCCTCTGAACCTACACATCATGTAGGTTCAGAGGCTTGAGTTCATTCGACCAGATCAGTACTTGGAAAAAAAAACTTTTTGTTATTAATACCCTGACCATGTATCCTAGTAATGTGGCATCAAATTTGAGGACAAGTCAAACTTTCCTTTCGATAACTTTCAATATTACTTTGAAATCCTGTCTGCCCGTTCAGGCGGACGTTAAAGGTGCTAAGGCATTATTTGAAAAGAGAAGGGAGATTCTCCTGGTTTGGTGGCCAACAATACCCCAATAAAATTGGCCACACACTGCACGGCTGTTTGTGGGACTTTGCTGTGCGCAAAATAGCTGCCATGCTTGCCTACAAAATACTGTTACCTTGAAACACTTTGAGAACATCCTCCCAAAGTGAAAGGCGCTATATCAAATGTAAGGATTATTATCTCGTTGTAATAGCGCTGTAAAACTTAAGTTAAATAAAAGTGATTTTGAATGCGTGTCTCAGTATGTGTCTTGAGATTTTTTAAACTGGTTGGCTTGAAGGAGACAATGAGATTTTAAAATAAAAAGCACTATTTTCACTCAGTGCGGAATACATGAAGTAGAATCACAAGAAAGTCAGAAAATGAGTGAAACTACCTGAATCTGTTTCAGATAATGTGCAAGATAGAAGTCAAATATCAAATACATTACACAGATTGTGAGCATGCAAGAGAACACGGAATGAACGTACATGAGAGAAGAGTATTAGAGAGAAACTTACCATTGAGTCTAGTTTAATGTATTGACAGGTTAAGTAAACTAGTTTTTATTTTGAATTAAATGGAGACTTTTCTTTAATGCATCAGCTTGTGGATCATTGGCTAAAGCCATTTTTCTGGCTGGGCGAGAGTTTCCCCTGGTAGCAAAGGTTCTCAGTTTAATTTGTGTAACCAGTTTGCTGCAGAATGTTGTGAGAGGGGAAGGATAATGCCGGTTTTATCTGCGTCGTCAAGTTATTAATTCTTACTGACAGTTATGATTACCATGAAACATAAAGGATTAAAATATCTGATACTTTAAAATGCTTTTTTAAAAAAAATCCATGCTTAATTAACTGCAGAGGAAAATGAAGGAAAGCAGAACAAAGCTGAACTGAAGCACAATTGAAGTTGTTGCTGCCATCTATAAAATCTGTTCCATGTAAAGTTAATTCTGGAACAAAATGTTCTTGTGCATTTAATTATATTGCAAAATGTTTGCTGATTCATACCATCTTGCATCCATAGTTTAAGTTAACACAGTTGCTACAAGCCTGAAGACCTTCTTCTTCGACTGTGCCTCTGGTAACCTCCTCACATCCAACTGGCTCGGCATCATTCTCCACCAATGTCAAGCACTCTGGATTGCTCCCCTGCGTGAGGGGTGCTATATAATGTTGTTGTTGTTGAATCATTGACCAAAACAGAAGCCTTCACTCTGAAATGCTTTATTGATAATAAAATTGATAAAAACAAATAAAACTCCTTGCATCCGATACAGTGCCTTTTACGTCAGGAGGATGTCTCAAACTGCTCGCAGGATGTACTGTAAAATGTACATTGTACTTTGTAGGCAAATGCGACATGAAAGACGCTATATAAATGCAATCTTTGCTGACGTTGTAGTCAGTTTACAGAGCAGTTTATAACCTCCACAATTCCCTGCTATCAACTGACTCAATTTTCAAAGGAAAGATTTGTAAATAATGGATCCGGAATTCTGTTCAACACTGACCATCCACTGGGCCAGACGCCTCCTTTATCACACAATGGACAACAATGTTGCAATGCAAGTGCAAAAACAGTTTTAAAAAGTCATAAAGAAAGAATCCCAGTGGCTTGGAAAAGACTTACCTGCCCTTATCTTGTGACAGATTTTCACAAGGAACTTTTGGAGCATCTGCGACTTGATCCCTTTGTTGTCGATGGCGTCGCTTCCGACTTGGTGCTACATCAACAGTCTCATGTAGGCTGCTGTCCAGGGGATGACTTTCAGTTGGTGCTGTGAAAGAAATACAGAAATGCTACAGATACTGTCTTAACCTGTATTCTTCATATCTTTAAGCCTGAGGGCCTGAAAAACTGATCTGAAAAAATCAGGGGAAAAAATAATACCTACATAGAGGCTGCTTGGCCACAGTAAATTGGTGACGCATGGATAATCTTAGAATGAGATTACTGCTCTGTACACTGATATTGTTAAAATCTAAAGCGGTGCAATTCCTCAGAGCACTTCCCTATATAAGCAAACTCTCCTCTCCCTGATTACTTTACCCCTAATATTTGCACACAATAGAGGAAGACTCTCTTATAACTCCATGGTTTTGATCCATAAGCTCAGACCCTTGTGTTAAAACAAAGGATGAAATAATGGCTGCCTACTCGTCAATGCTAATGTCACTTCCTGTGTACCGTGTGCATGTGTACTGTGTTCAGAAGGTGCCACTGACCCTATTTCCTTGCAGACCCGATATCCGCATCATTTCCAGAATGTAATGTGGATACTGCAGTGTTATGGTAAGTTTAGCATTCAGCTAAAGAAGAGGCACATGGGACCTCATTTAATGTCACATTCGAAGAATGATGTCTCAAACAGTGCAATACTTCCCCGGTACTGCAATGGGGTGTCAGCCTAGACTATGAACTCAAGTCCCAATGTGCCGTTTGAACCTACGACCCTTTTGACCCAGAAGTGAGAATGCCTTGAACTGAGCCACAGCCTTGAGGTTCTGGGACAGAGTGAATGAGAGGCAGTATAATCAGTGGCTCAGTGAGGAAATTAAAAAGAAGTACACAGAGCACAGAGTTCAGACTCAGCAAATCTGAATGAGAGAAGAGTATAACATCCCCTGATGGAAGCAAGTGAGCAATTTGGAGTACTGGGCATGGTTTTGGGAACTGAATTTGAGGAAGATTAACCCTAACCCTAACCCAAATAGTGGCGGATGTCCAGTGCATATTCAATAGATTAAAACCTGCAATTAAGAGGCTTAGCTGTGATGTGAGTTTGGGAAATCTTGGGTTATATTCCTTAGAGATGAGGAGGTTAGGGTGGGATGTTGTTGAACTATTAAAAATAATGAGGGGAATTAACCAACTAGATATGGACAATTCTGCCCTCTGTTAGAAAAATCCAAACAAATGGACATACTGTACTGTTACATGGTTAGAAAGTGAGATCGGAAACATTCCTAGGGGCTGTGAAAATCTGGATTGCTGTGTCCCTGAAGGCTGTAGCAGCAGAACAACTGAAATTTATTTTTGGTCAGCCATGCAGTAACCCATCACCATACTTAAAGAGTATCTAATCCAAACTGAGATTACCATGCATCCCATCTACACATGGAAATCCTACAGGTAGATTGCTGGAATGCAATGAGCACTCTCTCCCTGGAAGGACACACCCTGCTTACCTAATTCCAGATAGTATTAGGCACAGGTTGGCAAGAGCCAAGGCTTGGAACACCAGAGTGTGTGTTGGGTACTGCTGGAACGAGGATAGGTAATAACATTGGAATTAAGTGAAATAGAGAATAGGCACAGAAATGGAAATAAAAAAATCCGCAATAATCTAATAATCTGTGGAACAGGTTGGATGGGCTGAACGGCTTCCTACTGTTTCTGTGTTCTTAATGAGTAATTATAATTCTGCAGCAGAATACCACTTATAATGAAATTGTAAGGAATAAATGTTGAAATGCTCTGTACAGCGTGAATATTTGAGCACTTAATGAGAGGAAGCATATCTAGGGTAGATACTTTCAACCCGGTGACAAAGAGTTATCTTTTAAAACTCTATCCTTACAGAAAAGTGAGAGAGTATATACTCTATTCCTTTTGGGACTCAGCTTGTTATTGATGCTATCAAGAGGGAATCATAACCTATAATTGACTCTGGTTAGAAGATACATAGAAGAATATTCTTGCATTTAAATTACTGTATTCTCAGCCACCCTCCTACCCTCTCTGGCCTCCACCCACCCTGATCCCAACCCTCTGTGATCCCAACCTCCCCACCCCACTCAGGGCCTAATCCCTGACTGTTCAGTGTTTTGGTATGACATCCTGATGTGAAAGGCGCTTTACAAATGTAATTTTGTATTGGATTGTATTCACTTGAGAAAATAGGAATTACTGGGATTAGAGAGGACTATTGCAATCCCTCTGACGTATCTCATATCACTATTATCTTTGTAGTCTTAAAGAAATCCAAGTTCCTGAGACCAAACTGTCTGCCATACAAGCCTATTTCTTTCACACACAACTCAAAAGCAACCCTATCATGGGTTTCATCTCATTTACTATATCTTATGGCAGCAGTCAGCATAGACACTCCCAGACTTTTAAAATCCTACTTGCTCTCTTCTTAACTACTTCTGCTCCCCCTCCCCACAATACAGAAATCATTGCATGCTGTGGGTTACTTGATTATGCCTGCCTGCATAATTTTGTCTGTGGATATCATATCCATCTGAAACACACCCAGCCTTTGTTTGAAAGAGTTAATAAGCACAGCTTTGATTGTTTTCCTTAGATATCAAGAAAGCTCATTTCAGTTTAAAAACTGATGGATAGTTATTATTAGAACTGATGTATATTAGTGAATACTGTAAGGCTATTACAAGCATTACCTGCCACTGCATCAGGCTTAAATTGCTGGGAACATTAGATGTAAATTAAGGCCAGGCGCCAGCAGTTCTGGGACCACATTTATACTACTAATCACTCTATTGTATAGCTGCAACTCGGAAATACTAAATTGTGAGTTAGTTACATGGGGATTCTACCATGATTTAATTCACTGAATGTTTGAACAATAGGATTCAGCATAAGAAAAGATTATTTTTATAAGAACATAAGAAATGCTAAAAAGGCCAAGGTCCATCTGGTTCGCCTTCCACCTTCCTGGCGGTCGCATGCACATATGTCCCAAACTACCTATGTTCTACATCCCATAACGTTATTTTAAAAATTCTTTGATACATCCAATTCTCACCAATGTACCTCAAAGAGCAACATTGCGCATCACCATCTTCATTGTAACCCTCGGGTTCTGTGGCATAATAGCTCTTTACTACAGTACATTTACCAATGCTTTAAAAATGTATTTTTTGCACTAAATTGGTGGAGCAGTTGGGAATATTTGTTTCTTTTAGGATTGATCATGATTAAAATTTAAATCCTTTATCCTATGTACTATGTGTATGGTATAACTGCAATCTCTACTTTTAACTCATTTAAAATGTTCTTGCTGTTTGTTTATTCAAAGGTCTTCATTGTAATCTCGCTGCGTAAATTGTAAAACCTTCTCCAGTGGTTTAGATTATTATTGCAGCAATACAGGTTATTTGATTATAACAGTGATCCTTCCATTTGATACAACACCTTATCATGTTGCCAAAATGTTGTCAAATCTCAAAAGTTCAGTGACTGTGTATTTAGGTGAACATGGCAGCCAATTTGTATACAGCAATGCCCAACAAACAGCAATGAAGTGAATGACCAATTTTATGTGGTGGATTGTTAGTCAGGACGATGGGATAAACTACCTTTTCTTTTCAAATAGTGCCATTGGATCTTTAACGTCCACCTGAGCAGACAGACAATAGCTTGGTTTAACATCTTGTCTGAAGGATGGCACCTCTGACAATGAAGCACTCTCACAGCATGTACTCCATGGTCTAGACTCTGATCTCAAAGTCCCGACACAGGATTTGAACCCACAACCTTCTGACTCTGAGGCGAGAGTACTACCAACTGAGTCAGGCTGTCAGGCACATCTGGTCTGAGCCTTTTCCATCTGGATTTAGCCTAAGACCATTCTCTAAAAGTTTTAAGACCAAGCAAAACTTTGGAAAACTCTTAAATTTGGAAGACAATTTCCCAATGTTTTTAAAATCAGTACTTAAAACCTGCAGAAAACAAATGTTCAAGATATTTTGCATGAACTTAAATATTAAGATAACGGTGTTAAAAGGTGAAATTCTGGGTCTCTTGTTTTGAGAGATTTTCTGAAATTATGCACTTAAACTTTCTTTCTCTCCCCGTGGGAAAAAGTAAACAAAAAGGAGCTGTAAAATTTTCCAACTCTGATTAAAAGCATCCTGTTTTCTCAATCTGGATACTGGACTCCCAAAGCTGCCTCACACTGTCTTCCATTCTGATGAGTTTCATGAGATTTTGGTCAAGATCCTACCTGTGTGTTCTAAATAGGCTGAACAGTGACAAGTAGCCAGATGTGGGAACAGAAGGAAACAAATGTAAAGTAAAACTAGAAAAATCAACAGCATTAAGCAAATCTCTGCAAGCAGTATTGATAGAAAAGGAAAAAAAAATGGGAAATCATTCAGAAAACCCAAGAAAAGGGGAGCAACAGTACTACAGAAACAGCGGCTACAAAATAAGAATACTTTGCAATTCACCCAAAACTTATTTTTAAGTTCTGAATAACTTTTAACGAAAATAACGATACAATCTGGACCACTTTTCAGACAATATACTTTTAAAACCAAAAAAAACATTTAGGGGAAAAAAAGGATTAAACATAACTTTCTAGTTTAACCATGCAAAGTGTGTGAGAAGACCCTCCTCTTCGACTGTGCTTTCGATCTCCCTGCTTCCCCCACTGCCCTCCACCCTCCCCGACCCCTAGCTCAGGTCCAAAATCCCTTCAGTTACATTTCTCTTTTCTGGCTGTACAGAAGGAAGCCACCACTCACAAATGAAATACATAAGTTTTTATGTACATTTCACATTGGATTAAGTTTCCAGTTTAATATTTGTAAATTTATTGTAAGAATAAACTTCAAAAACATAAGCTTTCAAGATGCAATGGTGCACAGTGTAGTGTCATTCTGAAATCCAACCCCGTGTTCAGTAACAATTTATATTTATATAGTGCTTATCGCGTTGGGAGGACATCTCAAAGCATTTTGCACAGCTGTCTGAGAGATCGATCTGGGGAGTCTAGCAAGCAGGGAGTTGGAATAATTGAGCTTGGAT